ACTGATTCAATGTTCCCTTAGGTTTAATTGACTGAATTTCTAGGAAATTAGTGATGAGGCACATACTGCGAAAAAATGAAAGAAAAGTAAATTATATATATATACATCATTAAGTCTTTATTATATACATATTATTCTTAATATATGAAGATTATATATATTCTATTCTGGTTTATGGTCTATTTTATTACCATGGCTATTATACACAAATGTATGCTGTATACTATATGCTGTACATATAAATATAATTTTTAACATTTTTCCTATATATATGTGAATGGAGCTCGCTTGTGTCCAGCGGTTGTGATATGATATGTTTGGACAAGTGAACGAAAATGACGAAATCTTTATACAGTTGGTTTTACGCAACTTTTTTATATAAATGAATATTTATGGTTATCTCTTATCGTTATTGTCTCTTCTCTAGGGCAATAACTATTTATTTGTATATGAAACGCTTTGAGTGGCTCGTGCAAATGTGTCTCGTTTTTATTAATTTTTCGATGTTTTAATAATGTTTTATTTGTACTTCTTTTACTAGGGCTGCAGACATACGAAAGCAATGGACTGTACATTGAATTTATCAAATTTGTACGAACTGTTATACAACACTTTCCTAATCACGGAAGAAGTGAAGGAAGTACTGAGGAATGACTGTGATGAAGCAGCATTCGTTTTAAAACCATGGCAAGTGAAAACCATCGTAGAAAAACAAACAGATGAAAACATTTGTAATTGTAAAAAAGTACGATAATTTTCATTTCTTACATTTTTTCTTACGTATAATTTGTTTTTTCGTTTAAATTAATATGATCAATTTCGTTTTATTTGTCATTAATTGATAGAATGAAAGCGAAGCTGAGGAGATTGCTGCAGGAATAAGCAAAGCGATAATCCTGGCACAAGAGTTGCGGGAAAAGTTGAAACTTAATGTAGCATCGAAGAAGAAACCCTTGAGAAAAGACACAGTCGAAAACATTTATTTACCTAAATCTGCATCAATTAGCGATCACAAGAAAATATCGAGTAGCAATGTTACAACTCAAAAAGCAAATATTGTGAAAAATTCTGATAAATCTTGTAAAGGATCTAGTGCACATCAAAACGACAAAGCAACTTCCGTTGTAACGAGAAAATCTGTTGGCAATATAAAGCGCAATAATGCAATCGATAAAATGCAGTCAAAGACGTCATTTGCAAAAGTTGCAGAAAAATCAAAAAAAGAGAAAAATTTTATACTAAAAAATAAATTAAATATTAAAAAGATAAGCACGGCAAATAAAATACAAGTTGATGACAGTAATGATATCCCACAAAATGTAGGCAGCAATTATGATATAATAGAATATTTAGGAACTTTGGAAGTAATATTTTATCGCGTGTTTTTTTTTTCAGTCAAGAAACTCCATAACTGAAGCATCTGCCGAATTGAGTGATTTAATACATAAAATGGTGAAACAATCTACCAAGAGCGCTCTAACTTCTGTTGAGAATGATTGTACATTACACGGAAAAGACGTGCGTCAATCTATTCAAGAAAGTATCATAATGATAGATGTAATCGAAGCACTCCGACATTTTAATGTACCAAATGAAATTGTTAAGGTATTGAGAACTTATCATGCTTTTTTAAAAACTGAAATGGATAATTTGAATGATTCTAAAGAGGGTAGATACAAAAATCAGTCGACACTTTTCTAAAAGAATTAGAAGCGATGGTAAGTAATGTGATTACAAGAGGAAGGGCTATGCTCTTGAAATTATATAAATTCAATTTTTTGTTTTATTACATTGCAGAATACAACTACGCGTGATTATTTATCAGAAGAACCTTGTTTGTTTAATAAAACAACAAAATCGATAACTGCATTTAGTAATATTCTTAGTGGAGATTTAAATTCGACCCAACTCAATACCACAAAGACCACCTCCACCGAGCTGGAAGCTTCTTTAAAACAATATGATAAAAATATAGAACCTATTGCAGAAGTCTCATCTCGTAATCTTTCTTTGACAAATGGATGGATGTCGAATGGTATTTGGAATATTTCCTGTATGGAGCATTTTACAAGTAAATTCGTATTTTATATGTACATACATTAGCCTTTTAATTTTGATTTAAATTTAGATTTCGTTTGATTTTATCTCAATTTTGTTTTAGATTTCACTAAAGCATACAACATAAGATATTCTAACAAGAAGCAATTGCTGTCGCTGTATGAAATCATACAAAAATTGCAGCGCATCAATTATTTAAATACGTTGATCCAAATTATCTTACGGGACGTGATACCTACTGTTAAGTCTAACATCGAGCCTGCAAACGCGGAGTATGCGCAAGCGTACAAGACGATATTTATTCTCTATCAAGGTTTAAATCCCAAAGTGCCGGTTTTAGTGAGAACCGACATCTAAGTCTCACATCACGATATATTCTCTGTTACCATAGTAATGTCACTGTGTGTATTACCTAATTGATATCCACTTCTCATGGATAGACAAGAATTGTGCAAAATTGTATGTTACAACATCTTTTATGATATCATTACGCTGCGGATTAATAATGTTTGTGCCGTTAAATATCTCTTAACAATGTTTTGTGCCATTAAGTATTTCTTAATAAATGAAAAAATAAAATTTTAATATTTTGACTAAAGTTTTTGCAAGTTGTATCCTAGATTTGTTTATTTTCCTACATATAATATTGAAGACCATCTTTATACAATGGATACGGAATATGCCTACACGAAAAAAAGAATGCATTTTGGAAAGAGATGCAACTTCTCCGATTTTGACAAAACGGAGATAGAAATCAAGTCGAATCCAACGTTGATGAGTAATTATGTTAGAATGGATCCTGTGACACACGCTACACAGTGCAGTAAAGTCTATGCAGTTCACGAAGTATGAATATCCTTCGAATAACATTTATTGGAAAAATATATTATTATAATGTATATATGTTACAGCTTTAATAGCTGTATATATATGTTTCAGGTAAATACAACTACTGCAACATATAAAGACAACAAAATGTTTCATTATGAAGGTGGGTGGCCGAAAGACATAAATATGAAAGACTTAGAACAGACAGTTAGATATAGACGCAAGATCGAGAAAGACGAATTGTACATTCATACGATGCTTCAACTGCTACCTGTAAACATTATCTTTCTTGTCGACTCTTTTAAAGCTATCGAATATGACATAGCACTCATGCGAAACCATTTATTTTTAAGTCAATGGAGCACTGCATTTTGCAAAATAATGCTTGCAACATTTACGAAGAATATTTTGCCGATGTAGAGGTGACCCCATTGATACAGAGAGCTTTCTCACGTACGGTGAATGTTTATCGCGATCCTTTAACACTAAAACGGCAGATTACTCATCTGTCGTGGTCGCCAGATCAGGGTAATCGTTTTGCGGCTAGTTACTGCAATGTCGATTTCAAAAAAACCTCCAGCAACAATTACACCTCGTATATCTGGGAAGTAGGTACGTCGAATAAACGATCAACCAGGATCAATATTGATTAATTGATATATTTACGAGAAATTTCTCCGTAGAAAATCCGAATAATCCCTATATGGCGTTAAAACCCTTTTGCCCGATCTTAACATTGGAGTACAACCCTAAAGATAGCAATACCTTGATAAGTGGTTTGATGACTGGGCAGGTGGCATGTTGGGACATCAGGAGGGGCTCAGAAGCGGTAGACATTAGCTTAGTCGAATTTAGTCACAGAGATCCCTGCGATAAGACTCTGTGGATCAATTCCAAGACTGGTACTGAGTTCTTCAGCGCTTCGAAAGATGGACAGGTGTGATTTCGTACGAGATCGCAATTACCGTGACGACGACATATGCATATACGTGTTTATTTGCAGATAAAATGGTGGGACACTAGGAAGATGCAGGTGCCGACGGAGACTTTGATAATAGATTTGCAGAAACCAGAGAATCAGAATGTGGATAAGGCTACTGGCATCTCGGCTCTTCAATTCGAACCTTCGATAGGAACGCGTTTCATGTGTGGCTTGGAAAATGGTATAGTAAATCTATTATTGATTTATATCATTTATGATATCAATGATAAATAATTCTAAGATCTTACAGCTCGAGGAGAATGATAAATAATTATTCGATAAAAATAAAAACTAATTATATATTTCCATGAAAAAAATCGTGAACCGTGAAAGAAAAATTATGTAATGATTATACTGATGATTATGAAAATAGTTTTGCTCTTCGTAGGTATCGTAATATCGGGAAACCGCAAAGGTAAGACTCCCGCTGAAAAGATTGCAACGAGATTTAAAGCCCAGTATGGCCCGGTTATAAGTCTGGAGAGAAATCCAACCTTTGTAAAAAACTTCTTGACAGTCGGCGATTGGACCTCGAGAATTTGGTCAGAAGATTGCAGAGAATCTTGTATCGCTTGGACACCGTAAGTTTAAAAATAACAGAATAATGAAAATTCTACTTAGTAGGTTGCTAAACAATGTTAAATTTTCAGAGGTCACCGAGATTTTTTAACGGGTGGGGCATGGAGCGCTACGCGTTACTCCGTATACTATTTAATTAAAATTGATGGGACTTTAGATGTTTGGGACTTTATAATTCAGCAGGACAGTCCGGTTCTCAGCATAAAGGTAGTTAATTACAACTAATGTTTATTGATAATAAATTTTAACAACAAAATACGCTTGAAGGTATGCGATGAAAGTTTGACTTATTTACGACCTCACGAACAAGGTCAACTGGCTGCGGTTGCTAATAAAAAGGGTTCTACTTATTTGCTAGAATTTTCGGAAGCTTTAACAGTCAATCAAAAAAATGATAAATTGCTGTTAACCGCGGTAAATATCAGGTTGAAAAATAAATGTATCTTTTTTTCTATCACACTTCCGTGACAGACATAATAGAGGAATAAATATAATAAGGCAGTCCATTTCTCTAGCTTCTCGATCGTGAGACGCGCCGCGAGAAAGTGATAGAAGCAAAAAATAGAGAACAACGATTAAAAATGAAGACCTTGAAGATGCACGGTGAATCGGATTTCACCGATGTTTCCTCGAAACCGGATGAACGGGAAGATTCTAAAGAATCTTCCGATGGTTTAATGAACGCGCTGATAATGCAATGCGAACAGGAATACGAAAATATAATTAACGCGGTAAGATAATTTTTCGTCATCGAATTAATTCTGTGTGCACAGACACGTTTTCAAATATCGATTTTTATTGTGCAGGAATTAACGCGACAAGTAGAAATAAATACTGTTGAACTAAATAACAACGTGATGCAAAATAATGTAATTATGAATTAAAATGATTATATATAAGTTAATTGATATAATTTAATTATGAAAAATTAATATAAGAGAAATAATTTGGTTTGTCTTAGTTAGACTATCAAAGTATACATTGTAGGAAATAAATAATTTAAAAAGATGTAATTTTTATTTCATTAAGATTCTCGTTTTCTTCTTTTTGTAAATACCGTTTATATTCTCCATTTTATTCTCTCTCCCTGTCCCTTTGGCAATTTCCTGACTTCCCTCTACTTTCTATTTTCGCATTCAGGTATTGGCAAAAAATGTAGGAGGTGCTTCTACGAGCAGATTTTTACATGAAATTTTTCTTACGATCCACTCAATCTTGACAGTCGAATTTAAGTTTGCGAACTTATCATATACTGAGCAAGAATTTTTTCTGTACATTTCTAATTTTGTATTCTTTGCATTTTATATAACCAGAGGTAAGTGAAAATGTGATTATATTTTGTCATATTCTATTTTAACTACAGATCAAAATTTATATTATATAACTATATATTATAATATAAATATAATATAAATAATATAATATAAATATATTAATAAAGCAGAAAAATATCATAGGTATAAAAGAATGTGTTTTCCGACTTATTTTATAATTGTGCAGTGATCCTAGTTAAAAACATTTAAAAGTGTATATCTATTATATTAAATATTACGCGTTTAAATAATTTTTTTTTATAATATTTAATTATAATAAATAGAATAATAAAGTATAATAATAAAATATTTATTATCCAAAAACAAATATCAAGTCAGCGATTTATTTATTAATCGAAAATTGGCTTATCTATTTATTTTGCATGCATATGTCAGTTATTAATTCACTTATAAAAATAATATTTCTTTTTCTTTTTAAGGAGAATATGATGAATTCCACATATAACCAGCAGTTTTGGCGGCCCGATATATCGTATATATCCAATTTGCCACGGCGGCAGCAAAGACTAATAATAGGACAATATCTATTTCCATTGGTTTATAATATATATCCAAATTTAATGCCTCACAAGCTCACCGACATTTTATTGGATATTAATTCTCTCAGTGCATTGATAGCTATGATAAATGATCCCATATATTTTCAAACTAAACTTGATCAGGCTGTCAACGTGCTTAAAATTTATTATGGGATTATGTAAGAAAAAGATTGACATTGAGAAACAAGCTTACTGATTCTCTTAAAGTTGAGTTTAATTATATACACATGAATTTGTCTAAGATATTTTAATTTGAAATTGTAGACAAAAACAAATTGTAATATGATTGATTCGATAAAATAAATTGATTAAATATTTTTAATAAATTTGTAAAAGTTATTTAAAAAATTGTAACTTTTTTCTCTTCTCTCTCTCTCTCTCTCTCTCTCTCTCTCTCTCTCTCTCTCTCTCTCTCTTTCTCTCTCTCTGCCCGCCCTCCTCCTCTCCTCTCTTGCTCTAATCTATCTCTTTGTCTTATTTCTTTCTTACTTTTCATTATTTATTTTACTCTAGTTTTTATTATCGTTATAATATTTTAATAAGAAATTTAAATACAATTTAACCCATTCTTGAAAAAGCTAAATAATTTTTTTTTCTATATTATATAATAATAAATGCCCTCATGGATAGTTGCATGAATATAACGATTATCAATGATTGACATTGAAAAAAACAATTTAATTTGAGAATTCTAAATATATAATAGCAGATTATGGTAATATAAAGACGTCAGATTTGCTAAAAAATGCATTGCTTTCTTTCTTTTTCATTTCTTTTCCGAAATACATCTTTGAATCAAAAGAACCGTTATGAAAGTCTTGAGTTATTCACTAGAATGTTTAGAGTTAGGTCTATTGTTTTCTGTGTGGAATTTCTTGGCACAAAAAAATTTTTACTCTTATGCTTTCCGAATATATATATTTTACTTTGAATAGAGAAAATAACAAAAAGATTGTGGCGCTATTGTTATAGATTAAAAATATAAATTTTATATATAAAACTACAGCAAAGAGATAGAAATTGTAATATTGAAACAATGTAATATTGTAATATTTGAAACAAAAAAAAAATCTGTATTAAAAATACAGATTTTATTTGTACAGAGACTGAAAAGGTAAAAAAGGTTTGAAGAAGTTCAAAGTTTATGGTCGCCACTACCGTTTCCATATCGATCGATCCACGTTTCTACTGACAATGAGCATAATCGGGTATGCTCACCGCACCTGGTGTACCGCCCGTTAGCAACGCGACCGTAGTTCTGTTCAATGAACGACATAATTAACACAGTTCATATCCGCGGGTAAGTTTATACGTGTGAATTATTAATGAAGATTACAACGAGGACAGAATCATTTTCTCCCAGGGTTGCGATGGTATCACGTTTTGGTGAATTCGCCAGGTTTCACCGAGTGATCGATCGGCTCGCATAAGTAGAACGCACGCGATGTTCCCTTGCGAACGGCCTTCTTTCTCTTAGCCGCGGCGCGTCGTCGACTTCAAAAGGAGAGCCTCCGGAAGGGGCCGCGAATATGGCCAAGTCCGCCGAGTCCACGAGGGGCAGAAGATTGAGGAGATCGCGCAATGTGTCCTCTTTCTTCGAAGAGTCGACGGAGAACGCAACGCCGCCGAAGATGACGATGAACGTTATCGCGGACGTTCATAGCGGGAGTGAAAGTTTGGGTCGACGGCAACAACGACGAGACAATGAGAACGACCCCCCCGTGGTCGAATTGCCGGACAATAAGGAGACTAAACGGTCCTCTCAGAGTTCCAAATCTTCTTCGCGAGCGGGCGAAGCACCTCGAAATCGTTCCTCCGATCGCGGGCGTTCCTCGAAAGAGCCTTCCAAACATTTGCACGACGATCTGACGGTGGAGTCATTGGATCTGATAGAGGAGTTCGATGCGCCGAGGAGGAGGAGGAGGACCGAGTCTCCCGAGGAGAAACCGCGGCGCAGAAAGCAATGGAACACCGTGGCGAACGTGACGAACGAGACGGAGGTGGACCCGAAGAGACCACCGCGAAAGCGCTGGTCCAAGGACGCCGGCGTGATCCGATTGCCCGAGACGAGCGACGACGCGTCTCCGCTGATCGACAACTCGCGTAGAACGCCAGTTCCGGCGTCGCGAACCGGCCTGCGTCGAAGCGACGTTCTCCACTTTGACAATCCGGCGTTCGTGTCCGACAACGAGGAGGAGGAGGAGGTGCTCCGGATCGAGACTGATCACAATCGGGAGAGCACCAAGATCGAGATGAGGAGGCTGAGCGACCGCTCGAACTTCGAGGACGAAGCCGGGACTACGTCCGGCGGCTCTTCCTCGAGGAGGCACCGACGGGAAGCGGCAACGACGAACGAGCGTCTCGCGGTGGACAGCGACGGTCGCTCTTCGAAAGCGCGATCTTCGGAGAGTCGAAGAGACAGCGTCGAGGAACCCGATGACTCCTCGGCGAACCTGGAAAAAGTCAGCGACGTTCGATCGAGCTCGATCGCCTCCGAGGGACGTACGTCGAGCGGCGGAAGGTCTCAACCGGACGCGGTGCGCGACAAATCGTCGAGGAGAAAAGAGCGACCGTTGTTCAAGAAGAAGAAGGAGCCTCCCAGCGACGATGCGATCATCAGCTCATCCGCGAGGGATGCGAATTCGACGACGGGAGCGGACGCGAGGGTCAGAAAGAAACGAAAGAAGAAACGCAAGCAGGAAAAGGAGGCAACAAAGGGAAGGGAGGAGGAGATGAAATTCATCTCTGTGACGATTCATCGGGCGGACGTGCTGGAGGCTGATTATGTGAATGCGAAACGACCGATGGTCAGGGTTCACATCGTGGATGCTCGCACGGGTTCGTATCTGAAAAGTACGGTGGAGGACGGCGGCGCGTATCTTCAGCCGATGATCACCGGCAAGTTCGACTTCAAGAAGAACAAATCGATGATACCGGCTTGGGAAGAGGAACTTATCTTCGAGCACGATTTCAACGCGATTGTGAAAGAGAGCGATCAAGTGGTGATCCTCTTCGAAGTGATAGAACTCCTAAGCTTCGCTGATGCGAGTCTCAACTATGATAAAGTTGGCAAGTTTCTTTAATTAATTTTTAGCTTTGTTAGAAAAATAAAAGTGTAAATTAATTATCTCTATTTTTTACTTTCTTGTTTTACTTACTTTAATTTTTGGAAAAATTTTATTTGTTTCTTCCGAGCATTATTTATATAAATATTACGAATAACATTCGTTAGTAATTTTTACATTTTTGTACTTTGGAGTTGACTTGAGTTTTAGTCGTTTGCGACTTGAATATATCTAATAATTTATATCTAATTTTTTTCTTCAGGTAGTGAGGGATGTTGGAATAAAATTGCGTGGGCGTTCCTCAAGCCTGTGGGAGCCAATAACATTCTTCATACGGACAAGAAAGTACGGCTGCAACTTTACAAACCCAGACGAAGCTTTAAAAAATATGGGAAACAAAAATGTGAGGTATTCGTTGTTCGTTACTCAAGTGTTTACCTTTCTTGAAATAAAAATACTTCAGATTTTTCAAGATCAAATAATTTAAAATTCTTAAAAACTGTGCGTTCTTTTTTTTATTTCAAATAATATTACAATTTCTATCTCTTTGCTGCAGTTACGTTGAATTACGATGCCAAAATTGAAAGATGAAAGAAATAAATTTATAAATTTTTTCTATCGCTCTGTATACCGAAATATATCAATTTTCTCGCATGCTGCCATTCACGTGATTAAAACTCATGTTTTATCCAATTTTAATACAGACGAATGTATTTCAATTTACGCATAGTACCGCATAGTAAAAATGACCTTTAGGTAGCGGGTCAAGATTTATGGCTGCCCCTTGAATGAAGAGAAACCTTTAGCAAAGCGATAAATTGTTTCGCAAATATTTTGCTAATTTAGCATGAAACCAATTTACCGTGACTTGAACGCAAAGGAAAAAGAATTGTGTAATTTTTCATTCTCAGAATGTAGTTTTCACTTTTTCGTGAAAATGGCAATGTAACTGCAACGAAGGACTGGGGGGAGCTTCCCTTCTTCGGCGTGATTTGTAATAGTTTCGTTCGAAAATGCTCGAATAGAAATTCTATTGTTTCTTATCTCACATTTAGGTGTATACTTGGTGGCAGTCAAACAATAGGGATAAGTATCCTAGCAGTCTTTTAGTAACGGTAACGTCGGTTCCACCACCGAAACTCGAGTCTGTACTGTATCAGAACCTGCCGTTGAACGATCTCTTCGACAACGAGCAGAGCGAGTCTCGGGATCTCTCGATGCGTACGTCAGAGTCGATGCCGGGCCTCCCCAAGTGGGCACGGCTCGCCGCACAATCGTGCAAAATTCCAAATGAGAAAATGTTCGAGACGGAAGTTAGTGAAAACGGCTGCTTCTACGTCGCCTTCAGCAACGACGGCAAGTATCTGGCCTGCGTCCATTCCGAGGAGTACGATTATCCGATTGTCGTTTACGAGGTGCGTCAATATCGCGGATACCGCGTCTAAAGAAGAGGAAGATGAACGAAAGATGTAAAAAGATGTATAAATAACTTTAAGAACGTTATTAAAAGTATAACATAAAAATTTATTAAAAGAAATTAATTACGTCATAAAATTTAATCACGTCGAGACGCTTACGTTTGAAAATTATTGCCGTTCGCTTCGACGAAGCTACATAGTTACTTCGATTTCAGGTCAAAACCAGCAAGATTCACGTTCGATTTCTCGGTCACAAGGCTTTCGTGTACTCTCTAAGCTGGTCCAGCGACGATCATTACCTCTTGTCGGCATCCGCGGATCAAACGGCGCTTGTCTGGGATGTTCGCAACCAAATCGTACAACACGTCGAGGTAACCAGTAGGGAGAACTATTCATTTTTATCTGTTTTCGTGAAGATTAATATAAAATTGTAATTATAAATTTTCTTCTTAAACATATAAAACATCTATATTTCCTTAAAGTAAAAATAATTATTTATACTGTTTTATTTTACACGTCTAACACATTCGCGCTTTATTTTTTTTTTTTTCTATTTGATATTTTTATATGCGTTATTGAAAAATATTTCAGTTCGAGTTTGAGAAATTGTTTGGCACATGGCGCAACCTGCGTGGGATTGTCTTTAATTAAAATGCATCGGTTGTCGAAGAAAGAAATTTATTTAAAATAAATATGTGTACGAAACGGATTTGCAGATGCTGCCGCATCCTTCGTATGTTTATTGCGCCAAGTACGGACCCGACAAGGCGACGATCGTAGCAACAGGATGTTACGATCGAGTAGCTCGTATCTGGGCGAACGACAGGAGATCGAGGAAGCGAGAACTGAGCCAGGAACTGGAAGGCCACGAGGGTTTTGTCAATTCTATGGTTTTTCAAAGAAATGGTAATTTGATCACCGCTGACAGCGTGGGCTTGATAATTCTTTGGAAGGCCGACGAAGATCCCAGGGTATCATCGAAAACAATGTGGAGCATCTCGCGGAAAATAAAAATTAACGAGATCGAGGGTGTTGTTATCAATACAATTGTTCTGCATCCGCTCGAGTCGAAGAACTTCTTGTGCACTCGAGAGACAATGGTCTTCGAATGCTGGATCTCGCGACCGGTGTGGTTTTACAGAAGTATAAACAGCTGAATAATCAAAGGTATGTTGGATACGCTTTTTACGCACTTTTAATATCATTTGTATTTTTTAACTTATAATATATTAATTTTATACATACACACATATATATATATATATATATATATATATATATATATATAATATATATATATAATATGCTAAGTTGGAAAATCAAATATGTATTCTATTCTATCTCTATAATTTCCGACACGCCAAACACTCTTACTACTAAAACTCTTTTGTACTTTATATGTTTCATTATTAGCCTCGTCACTTCTCATTATTTCACATTAATTAATTTCTTAATTGCAATTTTTCTTTATTACTTTATTAAATTTTTGTTTTCTTACTTATAGAATACAGTTAAAAGTTTGCATATCGCCCTGCGGTGGATTAATTATGTGCGGCGGCGAAGATTCCGTATTAAATATCTGGAATTTGGAGACAGGTAAGCGCTTAGCCAAATACACGAACGTTGGGCGCAACTCGGTTAAGGCGGTCATTACCTGCGTGGATTATCATCCTTACGATCACGTCTTGGCCTACTCGATATTCGGTAGCCCTATGTCAGTTCGCATTTTGAAATTCGACAAGAGCGCGAATGGCAGCGACGTTGGATTAATTCTTATGGAAGATGCGCCGCAAACTCGAGGTAACGAAGTGGTGCTGAATGTTCCGAGTTGTCCTTCATCTCGACAGGCTATATTACCTAGCAGCGGCACAATAGGAAAAGAAAACACCTCGTCTCGTTATCCCGTAACCGGTCACACGGTAATACAAATCGAAAATGATCGCGAACAATCGTGGCCGATGCTTCACCGTCTTAAAGGAATAGAGCGAAAGAGGGAGAAAAGCCGGGATCGACTGCACTGCATCATTGAGAAGATCGACTCGATGCTGTCCAGGAATTCAATGTTTTTCGAAGATGTTCGCGAAACGAAACGAACCCTTAGCGCAAACTCAGCGAAAGGATATCACGATTCAAGGACCAACGCACATAACAATGTCGCTCTTAATAGAGATGCGCTCCTCAAGGCCCGCTCCACGCAATCCCATACTTTTCTGAAGAATGATAATGACACGCGGACATCTAGCTTCACGGATGTATCCAAAAGTCGGAATTGTTCTTTTGATTCTCGCAACTCCGCAGCTTCATTCAGCAAAACAAACACACCCGTCTCGTCGCACCTAAGTTCCCCGGATAGCGCTGGTACTTATGTCATAGAAATGTCGAACTTTAATAAGAACGTCGACGAAGTTGCTGAGAAGTTAAATTCCGTTCAAATAACTGAAAGTGATAACTCGCGGATCAGTAATGCTACGTTCGTCATAGAAAATGAGCGATCATGAATAATTTTTCTATCGTATCCTTCACTTTTCTTTTAGAATCATTTTCTCTTTCGTTTTCTCATTAACGCACCATCTTCTACTTCCGCACCATACAACAATATAACAATTAACAGAACATAACAGGACAAAATGCAGAGAAAGGAGAGGATTATTGTACATAAATTTTATTATACGTCAAAACTTTAATTTCAGATCAATAGAAAAATAAAAATGTTCATTACAAATAAACTTCATAAGAATTTCTAATGACACGCTTACAATATGGCAAAGAAGTAAATTATCCCAATCCAGGAGTCAGATCACGTATCAAAAAAGATTAATTGTGATGTGTAATGTTCAATACATGTGTGTGTGTGTGTGTGTGTGTGTGTGTGTGTTATTATTTTATATATATATA